TTCTTAATAGCATACAGAAAACCAAAGGAACCAGTTAGCTTTGAAAGCCTATTATTTCACTCAAAATCAGAATGACCACTGTTATCAGTTATTAGATACTTGAATAATTGAAAGTCTAGTGGTACAAAAAAGATAAAAAGTAACGTATCTAAATATTAATTTTGGCATGTTTCAGTTTGCTTGCTGTTATTTTACATTTTCTTTTTACTCACACTTATCCTGTATAGAAACACTTTTGCCATTGTTTGTGAGATATTGTTCAACTCACATTGCTAGTTCAAGTTCAGGTTTGGTCGTTTGCTCACATTATTAAACACTGGTCTTAGTTAATAAACGCATTAAAAGAATTCACATGCTTAGTATATTTGAGCGTGCTTAAAAATAATCTAGAAATGAGCCATTGTCTTTAGTTTCTAACTGTGTAATTCTTAGTACACTGTTCAGAAAAAATGAAATACTCAGACCATGGGACAAAGAAGAAAACTTGATTTCTGTTCAAGGCTCTGCCAGTGCAGAACTTGGAGCCATGTTCTGGCCCTTTCTCAAGTGGAACAGCACCTCGGTCGGTGCAGCCCTTGTGCCAGTGAATCCACCTCCCCAGCAAGGAGCTGCTGTGCACGAATAAGCACAAACAAGGGCTCTGGCCATTAGTGTTTCTGCCCTGTGAGCAAAAAGAAAAGTTTTGGGGTTCATTTGTTGTTTTGTTGTTTTCCTTTCCAAAGCACGTTCTGAACTTTTGATGGCAAGCGCTTTACAAACACTGAATGTGATGACATGCTTCCAAGTAAGCAAATAAATAAGCTTAGTATTGATAGCCTTGGCCTAGGGTGCAATTAGTCTGGGCGCTATACAGTCATAACGATGGACAGCATTTGCTCTGCAAAACTACATAATTAAGGGAGGGGAAATCAGACAGATGTACCAATAAATTAATTCCCAGGAAGAATGAGATTGTAACAGTCAGGCCGAAAAGCCCTCGCCTTAGCACACTGGTTATCTAACCACCATTGTTGTTGACAATGAAGAAAAGGACAATTTCAATGCCAGATGAGAGAAGAGATTAAGAATTTAGTGTAGTGAACATTCTCAGGGGCCTGTCTCTCTTGCACATACAGTGACATTTGCAAAAACCAGGAGAGTTAATAGTGTTTCCACAGACCATATGTGTGATGAAGAAGAGGTTGGACCCTGCACTGTGCCACAAAATACTGCAGCTAATGAAATTCCAGTGCCTTCTGTGCCAAGATGAATATTTTGTATTAAAAGGGACTCCTCCACTGACAGTGTGAGCGGCTGCCTCCTAAGAAGCTGCTCATGGTTTCTCTAATCTCTTTCCTTGATGAGCTGCCTGGAGAAGTAGAGCAACAAGCGGAGTCAGCATAAAGCTTTTCCTAGGTTCTTACTCCATTCATTCTTGCACTAGTTACTAATAAGTTAGTATGGCCAGGCTTCATGTAGCTGAGCAATTACAGTGCCATTCATGTGTTTTTATATAGCTGCCAAACCGCAAGAGGAATGACCTTAACAACTTTCTTTTACAGGAGTTACTGAGCATTTCCTTACCACCTCCAGATGCAGGACATCAGTGAAACTAAACAAAATTGCAGACCTCCTGGAGGTCTATAGGGAACTCAAGAAGGTGTCCAGTGTTATCGATGGGTCAGTGTTGTTGATATGGTGTGACTTTACAGCCATTTTGAAAAAAATGTATTTATGCTATCTTGAAACTTGAATCTAAGCATTCTTAATAAATAAATGGAAAAAACCACACATATAAATTCAGTAAGACAATTTCAGAGGGCTACTACAGTCTAGGTTCAAAATATATAAGGGTTATTAAAGTGACATACTGTAAAACTGAAAGCAAATGAAGTAACTGTTCGCCTATAAAGGATTTTAATAACAGCAATAATTGTCTTTTGTTATTTATCTTGCTGTTGTGCCTGCAGACCTTCCTAAACTCTTATTGTACAGATATATTATAAAGAGGCATTATAGTTTGCAGCCTCAGTTGTGACAGGATGAAACAGTTTGGTGAACATCACCAGTGGACTGGGCAAAAGAATAAGAGGAAAGATTTCTTCCTGCAGTCTGTGTTGGAGCCTGTTTTCCCAATAGTTTAATGATCCTGTCCACAAAGGCTGTGTGTGACAAACTACGTCTTTATATTCCTTATATATCTTTATATATCTTCACATATATATCTTCTTTTAAAGGCTGTTTCTGTCATAAGAAGAGGTAGGGGAAGCCATGTCCAAGGAAGAGAGTGGCTGGTCCTTCCTGTGGAGCACAGAGGAGCAGCCTACAGGCCATGAAGTGGGAAGAAGGAGGGGAGAGGGGAAAATACAGAGTGGATCTAGAGCCCCAGTCCTCAACTATGGTGGCCAAAGCTGTCCTGGGGACAGGCTGTCTCTGCAGAGGTTGACACAGCTCAAGAAATCTGGGAGTTAGTTCAAATCAAACTGGACAGTAAGGGGGCTGGTTAGCTCAGTGGTTTGAGCGCAGTGCTAACAGTGATAACACCGAGGTTGCGGGTTTGATTCCCGCTCGGTCCCCATGTGTTGCCTGGTCTAGTCGAGAGGTGATGTCCCTGCCCATGACAGGGAGGTTGGACTAGATGATCTCTAAGGTCCCTCCCAGCCTAGGCCATTCTATGATTCTATGACTGACCCTGCAAAGATACAGTGAGCAAGGGGAGCATGTGTTGTACAACTTTCACCTTTCTTTCTTCTGCACTTAGTCACCAGAGGTTGCTTGGTACTGACTTTTTCAAGTTGAAAGAGGTTTTGTTTTTTCTCAGAAAATTCATTTCATGGAAGAGGTTCAGGCAAATCCACCTCAGAGCCTTGGTGTACTGGGTCTGGATGGGATGGAGTTGGCAACAGTTAGCTGGTTTGGAGTCCCACCACGACGTTGAGGAAACCAGAAGAGAGAATAACACCTGCACTAACATAGCTGATGCTGAGACAAACCAGAAGCCTGGAATGTGATATGTATACTGTCTAAAAGGCTAATTTAGGTGGATGAGGACGCAATTTTCTTTCTTTTTCCCCTTTGCAGAGTTTCTAAAGAATTTGTCTTGTGTATGTGGGCATAGCTACTGCTGTTGTGCATGGTGTGGGAACCGCTTGTTTTCACTTCACAACCCTGATGGTGGGTGTCATGCAAGGCAAGGCAATTGATGAAGCGGTGCTGTGACAGTCAGGGCGTGAAAGCTGAACTGCAACAAGAGGAGAATTTTGAGACTTGATGGGTTTAAAGTTATTGGGTGTTTTGCTGAATGGCTGGATACCAAGTAAAAATGAACTCCAAATTAAATGTAAAAATAAATGGAGTTTATTACATACAATATAATAAAAGAGATTAATAGACAATATAATAAAAGGAAATTGTACCAGCTAGAGATGCATCCATCAGTTCATTACTGCAAAGCATAACAGTGATTAAGAAAAATATACATCACCAATTACCACCTCAGTAACATCATCCAGGCCTACACTTCAACTTGGAAGCGCCATTGCAGCTGGTGCCAGGGTCTCTCAGTAACTGGAAAAGTCCTACACGGTGCATCCCCCTGTAGGTGAGGCTCTGAGGCTCCGGTCCCGGAGCTTTCCCACCTTTATACTCAGTCACAAGCAACTCACATGCCCAGTGTATGCAAGTTCTGGAATTTGCACCAAGCGCAGACGTGCACTGTTTCATGATCCATAAGGTCCACAGTCGCCTGAGACGTTGGACAGACATCCAAGCACAGTCGAGTTATTATCACGACAGGGCTGCACTCAATATGTCATTGTCTGGAGGGTCCTGTTTGTTCTGAGTGAAAGGCCCAGAACAAATACCACCTGTTGGATTCACTAAATGGGATTTATATTTGTCCTTGAGCTCACCTCCTCAAGTTGGGCAGTTAGTATTTAAATGCTTGATTAAAGGCTTTCTCATGAGCAGTGATCAATCATTGCTCAATAAGTTTCCACCACACTGGAAGATTTAAGTAATTTTTTTAATTTTAATTAATTAATTTTATAGTGTTCTAGTGAAGGTCAATGGCTCACTAATGCGTTGGATGTTTTTTGTTAGAGACATGTTTTCTTAGAAGTAAAAACATCAGTGTTAAATGTATTTTGAGGCACTGAGACCCTGCCCCTTGACTAGTATCGCTGGTGTAGGCAGACTGCCGACCCCCTCACCTCTGCCCCTTGACCGACATTGGTGCTGTAGGTGGGATGCTGCCCACAGTATCTGTGTGAGGTATGGTCCTCCCCAGCCACACTGCCATTGCTGGAGACAAGGGGTGTCATGACTCTTACTCACAGTCAAAAGGCACTGATGTGTCTGGATGTGTCTGCCAAGTGACCTGGCCAACACCGAGTGTCCCGGGATGTCCACTGGAGCTGTGGCATCACTTACGATGTCATGTTTGCTCTCAGTGATTTGGTGTTCACCTTATGCGCATGTTGTTGCCCACCTTTCCTACTGCTTCAATAAAGTTTTAGTTTGTAACCTGTTGTCACACTGTTCAGATCACAGGCACTCAGTGTATTCGGCATCAGAAACACAAGGATATCTTGTGGTATCCAATGTGGCTTCTCCTATCACCATTTGGTTTCTGAGATGTCTTGATCATCTCGACACTGAAGAGCTGTAGCCCCTCTTCCTAAATTGTAGCAGTAGAAAAAACAGTAGGATTGGAACATATTTGCTCGAATTTATCATAGAATCATAGAATTGATACACTCCTCTACCTCCTGGTAGCAGCATTCCTCATTTTTGCTCTGTGAAGAATCAATACCTTAAAAAATAGAAATGAAGGAAGGAACCTTCTGAGACCAGCTTCATCCATAATTTTCAATAGCCTGGTTTATTTTTAGAATCTTTACTTTCCTGGTAACATTATTACAGGAGTCATTGCTGATGTCCGTTTATCTGTGTTGTAGCTGACCTAACTCTGGTTATTGTTACTGACTTATCTCTGGTTTTGTTCATCTCTTCTCTCTTAGTGGAGTTTTTATACTGTGATTTGGCTTCCATGAAGTCTATACGGCAATTTGTGCAGCGATTTAAAGCAAAGAATTGTCCACTCCATGTCCTGGTGAATAATGGTGAGTTCTGTTTTCTTCTTCTTTACATATCTGCAGGGGAAGATATGGCACGTAGGGGTCTTGCCTATCATTTACATTTCAGATTGATTATATGAACCACATGGCAAGTTACAATATGGCTGTGTTAACAGGGATGTCTTCCCAGGAGCTAAATTGCATTTTTTTTGGAGAGATTGTCAGCTGAGCAGACTGAACATCTCAGGGCCACCCCAGCTCATGATGTTATTTGCAAGCCTTGTTCATTTGCTGTATTTTTTAGCTCTTCGGCATTAAAAATCATGTGGCTGCACAAGAATCTAAGCATCCCTAATAAAGAAAACAAAAAAAAAAAAGGAAATAAAACCTGTACTTTATGTCTGTCGAAACCTGTCCTTTCACTTTTGTTTACTTTCTCTCCCCTTATATTTTCCCAGTATGAACACATATGTTTACTGTGACTGCCTGGTGAGCTGGTTTGGGGGGTTTATCCATCTGAAATAAAATCTTGCAAATTATCCAGTGACCTCAGAGCAGTCACTGCTTAGATCAAGGTGCTATTGGAAAGCTGTCCATCAAGCTGTGTCCTCAATGGTCAGAGAAATTAAAAGGACAAAATTTATCTTGCTTTTATACAATTATCAAATGAATCTCATTACTCTTGGGGATTTCAACTTTTGTTATTCACATACTTGCCGTTTAATTATGTTTTCTAGCCACAGTATTTTTGGAAACCAGCCTGTGCAATAATTTTCCTTCAAAACCCTGCATTCCCTTTCCTAAAGGGGAATTTTCACCTGTCTATTTAACTAGGGGAAAAACCCGCCAGCAACAATTTAGGCTTCTTTCAGAAGTTTTCTGCTGTTATATGCTGCTGTTCTTGTTTTCCCTATTATTTGCATGCATTTTTATTAAGACATCCCAAAGAACATTTTCTGTTTTCCTGTGCACCCTTCAATCCTAGTGAGGGTAAGCCTGCTGTAAATAAATGGGTTTGTTACACTTGTTGATGCCTTAAAGAAGTCTTAGTAACACAAGCAAATACTGCAATAAAAATTCAAGAGTTTTTTTATTTCCTGATTGATATGAAACATTCATGAAATGTTCAATTAAATGTTCATTTTTATTTGTTTAGTCAAAAAAGCCTACCATTATTATTTTAATTGTGCAGCAATTAAAGGTAGTGGATATTTAATCCTGGTTACAAAATCTTTTCAGTTTTACAAGCCTACTTTTAAAGATGCAGAGTACAAACTGTTACACAGGAGGGAACGACACTATTTGAAAAAACAGCATTTTGTGGGAAAAAGGGTCTTGAGATCTGTGCACCTGCCAGGTATCCACTGCCCTTCACCGGCTGTCTGCACGAGCAAAGCCACGACTGTGAAGCAGAGGCTTGGGGGCATCTTGGGGGAGGAATTATGGGGCTGAAGCAACAGCACTGCTGGGAAGCCCTCTTGAATAAAGGATTTTGTTCTGCCCTAGCTGCTGCTGAAGCAGGGTGGAAGAAAATTGCAATTAAGTATGACTTCTTAATCAAGAAAAAGAGGTATATGAAAACAGACCTCTTAATGCACTTAAGACCAAAGAGTATAGATCCAAAGCTTCTTCTAAGAAAGAAGCTTGAGACTAATATTTGCCTGAATCAGTCTATATTTTTGTGACCTGCGGGAAGGACATTTGATTTTGCTCCTGCTTGGTTACCAAATACAGTTGGCGAGAAAAATCTGTTGTTTGAGAAAATCCTGTTAGAAACTACAATGAAATAAACGATTTGACTGCTTTCCCTCCCCCCCCCCCAAGTCTTTAACTGAATGACAGAAGCAATCATGTCCAAAGCTGCTGTAAGGACTCCTGTATAATTAAGTTACTTTCTGACCACCACCTGGAAAGTCACGAGCCTCCACTTCTGAAAGCTCTTTCCTGTGTTGTTTTTTTGGGTCCTTTTTGTTTGCTCTTGTAAATAACCTGAAGCATTTTCTTTTGTTACTAGTTTTGTAGTGAAAGTCCAAGTCATTTCTTGGTACACAAGAGGAAAATGAACATACCTAATGGAGTAGAAATGGCCTGATGTAAAAAAACTTTGGACAGATTTTCTTGGATTTCTAACGATGTTGAGCACATCAAAGACAAATGCTGACATTTGGGCTAACTGGTGGGCTGTTCCTTTTCCATTTCTCTTCCTCTTTGGTTTTTTTTTTCTTTCCTCTACTCTGCCCTGGTGAGACCACACCTGGAATACTGTGTCCAGTTTTGGGCTCCCCAATTCAGGAGAGACAGGGAGCTACTGGAGAGAGTCCAACGGAGAGCTACAAGGATGATTAAGGGGCTTGAACATCTCTCCTATGAAGAGAGACTGAGAGGACTGGGGCTGTTTAGTCTTGAAAAGAGAAGGCTGAGAGAGGATCTTATTAATGTATACAAATATCTGAGAAGTGAGTGTCAAGAGGAAGGTCCAGTCTTTTCACAGTGGTGCCCAGTAATAGGACAAGGACTAATGGGTGTAAGTTAGAACATAGGAAGTTCCACCTCCAGATGAGGAGAAACTTTTTCACTGTGAGGGTGACAGAGCACTGGCACAGGCTGCCCAGAGAGGTTGTAGAGGCTCCTTCTCTGGAGACTTTCAAAAACCACCTGGAAGCATTCCTGTGTGACCTACTGTAGGTGATCCTGCTCTGGCAGGGAGGTTCGGCTAGGTGATCTCTAGAGGTCCCTTCTAACCCCTAACATTCTGTGATTCTATGATTCAGTGATTTGTTGATCATTTTTTTCAATGTAATGCAATGCTTTGATGAGAAAGATTCAGTCCATCATAGACTGCAGGGCTGGAGGCACTACTCACTCAAAAGCCTCATCATCACAGTTGCCAGCTCCACTGCCTTCAGACGCCCTGGACAGATGCTTGGTTGCTTGGAAGTGGACAACGCCTGCAGCGTTTAAATGTCCCATGGGAACAGGTTGCTGGGCACATTGTCAGTGAGTGTGTACACTTTCTGTCAGAAAACTGTTGTCGGTAGGAAGGTGTTTTGCATGACTATTAGATGTCCTGCAGGACATCTCATAGTGACATGGTTGTATGGATCTAGGTTTCTTAGCATCACCTGGTACATTCTTATTCTTATATATCTTGAAGCTCTGGCGTTCTGCATATGAAGAGATATTTGATTTTTTAGCAATGTGCCAGGCATCTGCACAATGCATTTGTAGGCAGTCATATGCTTTTAAGAGTCTGACCCAAAGTCTGGTGGGGCTAATGGAGAGTCTCCACTAGGTTTTGAAAAATGAAACTTTGTGTCCCATGACTTCAGAATCAGACCATCAGTAATCTAGCATGAATTTTCCTCTCTGTCTCCACAGGACCAAGGTTTTTGTTATCAAGGACTGTACCCTTTTATCACATTTAGTGTAAAAATACCAAGAACTGTTGCACTGTATTTTTTTGCATGCTATATTAGTATTATTTAATTGCTTTAAATGAAAAATCTTTTGAACTGACAGATGTAATCGTGTCTATACGTTAGTAATCTTTCCACATCTTATCTCCATGAATATGTGTCTTGTATGTATGGGTATGTATATTGTATTTGTTGTGGGCTTGTATGAAGCTATCAAAAAGCCAAACATGACAAGATGATTTGAGGAAAGTTCTAACATTATACAATAATGCAAACTATAAAATTAACATTAAAATATTATTGAAAGCAGATGATCTGGCATGAATTACTGTGCTGGGTAAATAATATCTCACGCCTGGACTAAGATTTTTATGAAATTCCACAGTTTTCCAGGTCACTGACAATTTTTTTAAAAAATGTATTACTATCATTTGAACTCCATAACCTGCTTAGCTCAAGGTTCTGGCTGGAAATTAAATTAATACTAAAATCCTGAGTTTAAAAGTGTTCTCCTAGAGCTACGCACCCAAGGTATCACAAAAATTTCAGTAAGGTTTAGGTATACAGGCACTTTAAGAAGTCTTATGTGAACATTTAGGGCATTCAAAATGGAAATGAGTGCACTAGAGTCATCCCTCATCTTTTTGTTATAGCTGGTTTTAGCATATACATTTAACTTTCTAATTTCTAATTTAAAAGGAAAAATCTGGTTGAATGCACGCATTATTTCAGCTGACAAATAAAGGCCTGTTCATTACTGTGCTTTTTGCATCGGTAATGTGCGTGCTCAGCGCTTGGGTTTTAAAATAAACAAAACATATTAAAGATGCAAATAGCGCATTACATAAACATTTTTTTTTAAAAAATATAATGTGCTAGTGCTAAAAAGAGAAAAATGCTATGACACAGAAAACAAATTCATTTTCTATGGAAAAAAAAGTAAGCTAAATAACTGAACTATGAGCCACAGAAAGATGGATGCAGTAGGAGCAGTTTAGAAAACTTAATCTGACAGAAGGTCGGAAGAGTATGCCTTCTAGATGGCTAATTAGCAGTTGGGTGCCAAGTTTTTGTTTTTGAAAAGAACTGTGACTTTGTACGGTTGAAAATAATGTAGCAAATTGCAGTACACTAATGTAGTTATTTAATACATTCATTAAAATGGTATTGCTGTTAAGATGCATTAGAAAGTCTGCTGTCTTCCTGTGGTTGCAAAAGGGACAGACAGTAAAACACTACATAAAATTCTACAAGCAGTCACTGCTTCTTGCCAGAGAGGTTTTTTCTAACTTGAAGTCAGTCATTTCCTTTGTGTGCTAGAAATGTTTCTCAGCACCCTGTAGTTAATGTTTTTACTTATACATTACAGTACTTAAGGATCTTAAAACCAGAAGAGCTAATGCCAAAATCACATCTTTAGTGTTAATAGAATACCTATGAATACCGAACATGAACAGTCTAACTCATTAACAATGAAATACCAGCTACGTTCTCTGTTGCGGTTCATTTGATCGTTGGTGATTTGGCGACAGGTTAGAAAAGGAGGAGGAGAAAATGAAGAAGACATTTAGTAGATTCCTTGGCATGCACAAAAACGCAAAAAAGAAGAGTTTAGAGGTTTCAGGATAT